CAATTCATCAACTGGCCACTAGAGACAGGCTGCAGAAGAGAGTCAATCCCAGACCCCATGTTAAATCTCCCAAATTTACAGCAGAAAATATGTTTACAGCCTAGTGCAAAAAGTGGTTTTGGTATATAGCTAGTTTTGCCCTTTGTGACAACTCTGAGGGGCGTGAATACTTTTAGAACACATCCGTTTAAATTACATTACGCCTTAGTTCTGCATAATTAAGGGCGTGGCCACTTGAGTGACAGGTGGATTGCCGCTGCTGTCCCGTCTGGTAGAGTCACGTCACCTCAGCTAATCCCGCCTCTTTGCCCATTTTCGGAGATGGTTCTCACTGCGGAACATGAACTCCACGGGGAGGAGTCGGATCCCACCTTACATACACCTAAACCTACCCAACTCCGCCCCCTGATCCATAAACCCACCCCTAATCCCTAATCTCCACCCCTTGGATCTTGATCCGACTCCTCCCCGTAGATCTCATGCACTGCATTGAGGTGCTACTGCATTTTCGGTTTATCACAACACCAAGATGGCGACAGCCGGCTCCGCCCACTTTGTGCCTCAAAAATACTCTTCAGAAACCTACAGGCGGCGTCAAGTCCATACTTCTACAATCTATGGAAAATTCGGACTCAGTGTGCAAGAACCTTAAGTCTTAATCAGACAAAACTTACCAGAGGAAGGTATGGCCGATGTTTCACAGGGTTGTGGATCTGACGCATTGCATGGTGACTGAGGTAAGTCTGGAGGTGGAGCATGGGCAGGACCAGAGGAAGGGGAGATGGAGGGGGCATGAGCTTTGGGAAGAGGGATTGGTGTCATAGCGGTATGAGAATCTACTGTCTTTTGGGCAATTGGTGGACCACTTCTTTCATCAATGGGAAGGGTGGTAGAAGGCGGTTCTGGGGCATCTGGTATACGGGCAGCTGCCGGAGCAACAGGTATTGCAGAGGCAGGTAAGAGGGGTTGATTGGAAATAAAAGTGGTTTGAATGGGCGGGGTGGATTCAACCGGGGCATCTGGGATTGAGCCAGAAGATGCAAGAGCAACTCGAGTTGGGATAGCAGGAGGTACTTGGACAGGGGTGATCGGAGATGCAACCAAGTTGGTCTGAGATGGTGCTTGATTGGAGTGGGTAATCTTCTCAGATGTGGGGAGCACTGGGGTCGTTTGCAATGAGGGTTGGGTCGGTTTCAATGCAGGGGCAGATTGAATGGGAACTGAGACTGCTGCCACTGATATGGGCTGTAAAGTGGACACCAACTGACTGTTGTAAGGGCTTCGAGGATGGCTATTCTTTGGCTGAATAGGGGTCTTTGCCTCAAGAGAGGATTTATCAAGACCAGGGGGTGTAGCAGATGAAGATGGGACTGTTTTGGGGCCGGAGAAGATAACAGCGGGATGTGGAGTTGGAGAGACAGGCATGGGTTTCTCTTGCAATTTCTCTTTTATTGTTGGAGAAGATCTCTGCACTGGTTCCTCAGAAACCCTTATCTAGAACATAATATAAACCAGCAACTTGTAAAGACAAAGAATTTCGATTAACATTGAAGGGACAGGATATATTGCTTGTTTTGTTGCCATACACCTGGATATGGAGATTACAACACTTTCTAGTATACTTAATTATCTAAGGCTACAGTACGTTCACACTGCAGGCTGAAACGACCTAAATCAGATTTTTTTGCCCCTATGCGACCTGTATCTGATTTTTTCATGACAGTCTGAACGACACAGATCCGATTTTTTCAAATGCGACCCAGGCCACTTGGGTATGTGGTCCAAATCCGATATGTATCCGATCTTTTGAAATGCGACTTCAATCTGAACGGCCAGGTCACATATATCCGACCCGCACGTCATTGCACGCACCTGTAGCCAGCCAATTCACTCCAACTCCAACGCGTTTCCTCACTGTTATGGGCCGCTGCAGACGAGTCTCTTCCGCAGTGTTGTGCCTGAACGCGTTCAATGAACGATAGTGCATAAACGCGTTCATATACTGTATTACTGCCTGATGAACATTACTGTGAACACGTTCATTCTGGTGTCTGTGAACGTGCGCTCTCTGTCAGTTTAACTTCGTACAGTAGGGTGCCAGATTTCTATAGAGCCTTCCAGGTGAAAACCCGGCTAAAACACATGTAAACATGCCTTAAAATGTAGCGAAAAAACACCCAATCTGGCAACACCAGCCCCCAGTGTCGCATCGCGGCCGCCGGCGACAAAGCAAGGAGCGCCGAGGACGCGCACTATCAATTAAACGGGTTTTATGACGAGGTCGGTGAGGATCGGAAAAATCTTACATTTATGTGCAAACTTTGCCCGTCTATAAAATAATCGTTGTCTGTGCTTGTATATGGGCTGTGGCAATAATAATAATAAAACAAAAGCTCGAAACATATGGAAAAATTAACTATTCCGCAAACAACAAGTGACGTCGTTGACCGTTGATTACTCTTCTGCGCATCCGGGTCACTTCTAGGTCATTTCACGTTCACAAAGGAGATCACAAAAGGTCGCATTTAATTGGAAATGTGAACGACCTTGCAAAAAAATTGAATTTTTTCAAAAAAATCGGAATTGAGCATTAAGCCCTGCAGCGTGAACGTAGCCTAAAACTGTTTCCCAACCCTGTTCCTGGCGGCACACCAACACTGCACGTATTCTTTGTCTCCCTTATCAAACACACCTGATTCAACTCATCAGCTCATAATCAGATGGGTTAATGAGCTGATGAGTTGAATCAGGCGTGTCTGATTAGGGAGACAAAGAATACGCGCAGTGTTGGTGTGCCGCCAGGAACAGGGTTGGGAAACACTGATCTAAAAGACATAAGTTGAGTACCAAATGACACACTACACACTATATACTTCTATTATATACTCAACTTTGTAGTGTATATATTTTACAAGGTTATTTTGTCATTCAGCATCAGAGCCTGATTCCCCCCCACAATTTATTCTACAAAACAATTAAGTGTGCAAATTGGGAGCACTTCACTTGTCAAAGCCATAATGAATAGTCCTGAATCAGCTGTTATAAACTCACCCCAGGTTTTTCTTCAGTGGTGCTCTTCTGTCTCTGTACAGGCTTCTGGGATGTTTCTGATAGGCAAAAACCAAAATATACTTCAGAATAATAATTCCATTTATAAATAAATATATGATCAGCCATGTTAGCAATACCAAGGCAATGCAATATTTTTTTTAAAAGTGATTGTCCATTGTGCTTATGTGTAAATATACATTATAAAGAACCAAATATGTCAAGGTAATCACCTAACTTGATATACTTGTGTCTTTATAATGTATATTTAGAAAATGCAATTTTGTAAAACCTGTAGATAAAGGGGGCGGAGCTTCACCTGTCTCTGAAACACACTCCTTCTGTTCCTTCTTCCGGGAGCCTTTCCTTTCCCCTCCTTTCTTTACGACCTCACCAGCAGTGGCCTAAATTCAGAAGAAACTATTAAAGTACAAATATATGGAGTTGTAGCTTTGTCAATAGGTGAGGTACTTTACACAAGCACTGCACTGGAGTACTAAAGTACTGAACTGACCTGGGGCCATATTCACAAAGAATTTTAAGGCTAAAAGTAGCTCCTAACTGGTGAATTTAGGAGAAACTCCTAAAAATAATGGGCGTGTCACTCCTAACTTTAGGACTCCTAACAGCCCCTGAGCTGAATAAAGGCACTATAAGAGCTTCATTAATCTTAATTTAGATATTTGATGAAGTTTGCAATTGATTCTGTAATTTTCTTATTACTCTAAAGCTGCATTGTAACAATATCTATTGAATAAAGTGTATATTTAATATGAAGAATTTCGAGAGATAAAATCAGGGTGAATGAAATGACCCTAATAAACTTTCTTAATAAATGTCTCTATTTGCCAATGCATATTATTAAGAAAAGTTGTGTTGAGGATAGTGCTGTCAAATCAATTAATCACATTTAACATAAAAGCTTGTTTATATACAAATACAGTATATATGCATATACATGAGTATATATACACTCACACACATATATTATATAAACACAAACCTTTATGTTGGATATGATTAAACAATTTGACAGCACTAGAAATGTTTGTTTTTATTGTTCTTTTAAATAAAATTGTTTATTTTCCCCAATGACAATGTTTTTCCCTTTTGTCATAGCCATGGGGTGTATAATATCACTAAGCAGTCCCACCAAACATTATTCTACCTGAATATCATGCTTCACCACACACTACAGGTGAAACTCGAAAAATTCGAATATCGTGCAAAAGTTTGTGTATTTCAGTAATTTAAATAAAAAGGTTGAATCTAATATATGTAACAATATACATATGCATGATTATACTTTTCAGAGGGCCGACATTTCTGTATTTAAAATCCTTTTTTTTATTGATTTCATGTAATATTTTAATTTTCTGAGATTTAGAATTCGATGTTTTCATAAGCTGTAAAATAATCATTTTTCACAATATTCAAATTTTTCGAGTGTCACCTGTATAGAAGGTAAATGTGTTTGCAAGGGCTGCACCGTCTGAGGGCTTGTTCCTAACGAGGGGAAGTTGAGCTCGTCTTTGTGAAGAAGCTCCAGCACGACGCTCTCCTCTTCCTCCTCTGGAAGAACACACACAGGACTGCCTCGCTGCTCAGACCGTCTGCAAACACACACCAGAAAGAATTTTACACAAATCAAGTGTCTTTCGAAGCCTCTTTCTGCACAAAACGAGCAGTGTTGGGGGTATCGTTACAAGTAGTGTTGTCACGGTCCCAAAATTTCAGTATTCGGTACCGATACCAGTTAAAATTCACGGTTCTCGGTACCAATTTCGGTACCAAAGCTTAGTTTAAATTTACATATATTTAAGTGTTTATCACTGTGACAAGTATGGAAACTGTACATTTGTATTATAAACACTTTAGAAAAAGATTAGATAAAATGACCTAAAATAAACAATAGTATACACTAACACATTTTTAAAGTTGTTTGTAAAGTTTTAATCCATTATTTATTTAATGCACAATGAATTAAGTGAACAAACATGAACAATCAGGTGTTTGTAATAAATAACATTTTCAAACATTAATTAATGTTGTAAAAATATATTGTTCACTCAATGTGTTGATAACTAAGTAATGTTTATGAATGGTATCTTTGTAGCATTACCATAAAACATGTTTTATTTGACTTGACTGTCCTTTTATTAATCTAAAACTGCATTCATATTTAATTTTAAAAAGGCTTTTTAAACCTGCTGAGTTATAAAGGCAAGAATACGCCTAGAACTGGCACTGACATTAAATGACAATACTAATACCAGTAGCCTACTCTGGTGTCGGGTGGATACTACTGTGCTCATGTACTCGTAAAACTACCCCGAAAGCACTTTAGAGGCCGTTCACATGTCGCGCGTGTTTTTTAATTATATTTTTGCACGTGCTTATTCTTTCCAAAGCGCTTGCTCTCACGCGGCGTCTGTCGTTGCTATGCAACGCCAAGGAGTTTTTATTAGGAGCGCGCTTGAATCGCGCCTATATTTGAAATTGCGAATTTGCATGTAATCGGCCTCTTATGGCAACGTGACATTAGCCTAATCCAAAATATTTCCATATGTGGCTCTTTCCTCCTTTCGTTTCAACAAGTGGATTCAGAGAGAGAGAGAGAGAGAGAGAGAGCCATATCAGCGTTAAAGAGGACGCAACTGTGCACGTTTCAGACATCGCGTCTAGAACAGAACTGGATTAACCTGGTACTCGGTACCTAGAAAAGCTGGTACCGTAACATTTTTTTTTTTTTTAGTACCGACTTGGTACCGAAGTACCGAGTTTTTTGACAACACTAGTTACAAGTAACTTGAGTTACTTGTAATCAGATTACTTTTTCAAGTAACTAGTTAAGTAACGCATTACTAAACCAGAACTGCTAAGTAGCTAGAACTACCTGGTGCGAAAGCCCCTTAAGTAATGCAATTACTTACTTTTTTTGGGAGTAACGCAACATTGTAATGCATTACTTTTTAAAAGTAACTTTCCCCAACACTGAAAATGAGCACGCGTAAAATGAAACTACAGGCCAGTGACACACACCTGAACTTCTCCTCCGGGAAGGCTTGCGGAGGCCAGGAGTGTTGCTTATTAACTCGACCACTGGACGCTGACTGAAGCGGGGCTTTGTTTGACCTCCGACCTCCTCTGGTCTCCCATTCTGCATTGAGAAACCCAGACAGTGAGTGTGTGTGTGAGTTGATGATGTGAAAGTGCGTTTTTGACCTGGAGAGGTCGTACCGGAGGGCGTCTGCGCGCCGTTGTTCGGTACGCTGTGTCTTTTGCTCTTGTCTGACACCGTCTGCCACAACTGAGGCTCTTCAGGCGGAAGACGCAAACTCAACAACGGCACAGTTTCTCTAAACACACAAACACATGGTGATTCATAGTTTAATATTGTATATTGTTTTTTAAGGGTTAAGAATATACATTTTCAGTAAAACAATTTGTTTTTGTCTAAATTGTGTTTTTCTTTTCTTTAGAAATAAAATGAAAGAATAAATAATAAAAATAAAATAATAAAAATAAAAGCAACAAAATATTTTCATCAAAGAATTTCCGTGGTATTGACTGTTGGTTAATGGAAATAAAAGATAATAATAATTTGGCTAATTTAAAAATGTTTTTTTTATCAATATACAAAGAGCAATTTAAGTATACATATATACACTGTTGTTCAAAAGTTTTGGATTGGTAAGATTTTTTATGTTTTTAAAAGAGGTTTCTTCTGCTCACCATGCATGTATTTGATTAAAAATACAAAATAAAATTGTAATATTATTGCAGTTTAGATCATCTGTTTTCTATGTGAATATATAGTAAAGTGTGATTTATTCCTGTGATCAAAGCTGAATTTTCAGCATCATCACTCCAGTCTTCAGTGTCACATGATCCTAAAGAAATCACTCTAATATGAGGATCTGATGATCAACAAACATTTTTTATTATTATCAATGTTGAAACATTTTTATTTCAGGATTCTTCTGTGAATAGAAAGTTTAAAAGAACAGCATTTATCTGAAATAAGAAAGCTTTTGTTACATTAAACACTAACGTTTAAAAGTTTGGGGTCAGTAAGAATTTTTTTTTGGGGGGGGGGGGGGGGGTGGGTGATAAAAGAAATCAATACTTTTATTCATCAAGGATGAATTCAATTGAAGACATTTATAATGTTACAAAAGATTCTATTTTAGAAGATTAAAGATTCTAAAATAGTATTTTTTTCTCGCAATTGCGACTTTATTTCTCACAATTCTGACTTCATATCTCGCAATTCTGAGATAAAAAGTTGCAAATTTTATTATTATTTTTTTATTCAGAGGCGGAAACAAGCTTCCATGCCTTCACACATATATAGAGATAAATAAAAGACATACGGCCTGTTGAGTTCCTCAATAAACACCGTGACTGGCCCATTGTCAGGACTGACTTCCTTAACGTAAGCGTTATAGAAGCGATTACTGCCACTCAGCTGCACCTGAGGAAGACAGAGAAACCAAATCAAGACAGCGCTGAAGATCATCATACATTTCATGTGGAGATATGCATTTCATATGTTAAATGCTTCACAGGGTGTTTTAAACAAAAAACATGCAGAGACTAGGTTAAAAAATACAAATAACAATTCAAACACACAAAAATATATATTAAAACAACATAAAAGTATTAAATTAATAAAAACAAAAGCAGGGAAATATATAATTTTAAAAAATAAAATAACAGCTCATATATAAACTACTGCTCAAAACGTTGGGGTCGGTAACATGTTTTGTTTCTTTGTTTTTTTTTTAAGAAATGAATACTTTTATTCAACAAGGATGCATTAAATTGATCAAAAGTGATGGTAAAGACATTTATAATGTTACAAATGTTTCTATTTCAAATTAATGTTGTTCTTTTGAACTTTATTTTCATCAAAGAATCATGAAAAAGAAAATGTTTCACGTTTTCCACAAATATTAATCAGCATAATGAACTGTTTCCAACACTGATAATAATCATAAATGTTTGTTGATCATCAAATCCTCATATTATGGAGTGATTTCTGAAGGATCATGTGACACTTTGATCACAGGAATAAATTACACTTTACTATTATATTCACATTATTTTAAATTGCAATAATATTTCAAAATTTTCACTGTACTTTTGATCACTAGCTTGATCCCCACTCTAAACTTTTAAATGGAGTGTACATGTAATAATGAAATGCTACTAAACACACACACTGCTAACCTTGCACTTGTCTCCAATAGCGTATTGCATTCCTGCGGCAATGCAGAAATCTCGCTGCTGTTGAACTAAACACACACACACAGTTATTAAAAATATTAATTCAATCAAGATACTAACTATATTTCAAAAACATTAATGAAAAAAGAAATGTACTTCGTTTAGAGCGGAGCCACACATCATACTCCACGTTCCTGTAGAGGGCGGGGTTTAGGGACTTCTGCGCCTTAGCGGACAGAAAGCCACGCCCCCTTCCTCGAGGCTGGCCCCTCCCACGACCCTGAAGCACAGACAGACCCGTCACCACAATATTTCATCATACAAAGTCAGTGTCTTCAAAAACACTGATATTTCAATCTTCCAGAGAGAGCAAATCACCCTCGGCGGTCTGGCGTTCGTCACACTGGCCGTCTTTTCTCCGCTTTCACTGGACCTAATAAGACCAAACACACACACACCAACATTTTTAATAAAACTAGTTATGAAATTGTATTTACAATGTATTTAACCTCTGTTGATAGATATTTCCAAGTGAAGCAGATCATCACATTTTTTTAATTTATACACATGGAGTTTCCATTCAGTGTTTCACCAAATTCACATAAAAAGTTATAATAATATAATATTTTATAAAAAATAAAAAAAAACTTATAATATAATAAGCTTTCTACTTCAGAAAAATGCTGTTCTTTTCAATCTTTTTAACTTTCTATTCAAAGAATCCTGAAATAAAACTGTTTCAACATTGATAATAATCAGAAATGTTTCTTGATCATCATATGAGAGTGATTTCTGAAGGATCATGTGACACTGAAGACTGGAGTAATGATGCTGAAAATACAGCTTTGATCACAGGAATAAATTACACTTTACTATATATTCACATAGACAACAGATGATTTAAATTGCAATAATATTTCACAATATTACCATTTTATTTTGTATTTTTAATCAAATAAATGCAGCCGTGGTGAGCAGAAGGGACTTCTTTTTTTAAAACATTAAAAATCATACCAATCCAAAAGCTTTGATATTTTATATATATATATATATATATATATATATATATGAAGAGTTCAGATGCAAAAGCCTCTAAGTTCCATTTGAAATTTTGTTCTAAAATGATAATTTTTATCAAGCTTGTATATTTAAGTTCAGTAATTTCACTTAAATGGCAATTAAGATTACCTATTAATTGTCATTTAAGTGAAATTACTGAACTTAAATATACAAACTTGATAAAAATTGTCATTTTAGAAGAAAATTTCAAATGGCATTTAGAGGCTTTTGCATCTGAACTCTTTATATATTGTAAGCCTATAGATTAAGATATGCCAAAACCAGTCCAACATGTCATCATCCGCTCATTAAAAACTATAATCACACTCTCCAAATGATATTGCAAAAGAAAACGTGCGAATACGTACCAGAACTCGTCTTCCTCCAGGTCAGACTCTTCACTGCTCTTGCATTCTTCCGAGTCGAGTTTTTCTCGTCCTCGTCCTCCTTTCACACACGACCCTAAAACGCTGCGGTCGACGCCACACACGCGCTCATACAGCAGCTCGTACAGGATCGCTACAGATAGAGAAACGGTTCGGTTGGGTTCTGATACTGAAAGCATGTCGCAGAATAGAGAAGAAGCACTCGCACTCACACTGACAAACAGCAGCACTTTTCTCAAAAGATTGGGGGTAAACACTGTCATAATGGTTTCCATTGAGGAAGCACAGTCGCACCTGACAGAAAGAGAGAGAGAGAGATTTCAGTGTTACGGCGATTACATTTTTTTTTAATAATCGTGCATGAATGCAACTCTGCACCTTATCAGGGAAGCCGTTCTCTGTGATGTTAACAGGGGGTTGATCAGGCACCTGGAAAATAATGAAATCATGCCTGGAAGAAATAAACATTACACCATCAGAGACAGTAAACCAACAGTTTACACTCTTAATATAAAATCTGCTGATATTAAAGTAAAGCCGCTGTTGTCGTGTTCAGACTGACAGCAATATTATGTGAACAGAAGTCATTTGATTTCAATGTCGAACAATGCAACAAAGTTGAGGATTGATTAACTTTATGCAAATGAGCCTTTGCATGGAAAACTACATCAGAAATCACTTGCATTGCTTTAATTCATGCATTGATAATCTTGTTCATCATATGATGCATTTAGCACTGCTGCGATTTACAGTTTACAGGAAACACTTTCCCTCCAGGATCTTCATTTATAGCAACAAGAAAACCGAATCATTGTCAAACTAGACATTTTATAAATCCCATTTTGAGCATTTTGAGCACAACTGGCCATTTACTGTCAGTGAACAAGACATCATCACAGTTCATGCCTCAAAATACATAAGTAAATGTAATATTCTCACTTATAGAGCTCAGCCAGAACGGTGATCTCCACCTGTCCAACCCAGCTCTAAACGGATGGAGGAATAAAGAGAAAGAGTGTTAGAAATGTCAACATTTTACCATTAAAAGAGTTGAATAAGAAACTAAACAAGTTGCCTGAATGTACAAAGTTTAGTAGTTACCTGAGGATCTCGTAAATTCTCCAGGTATTTCTCAAAATCGCCTTCGATAAACTACCACACACATGGAGAAAGAACAAGGACAAGTTTAATACAGCAGGTCAGAGGTCAACTGACACTTTCATAAATGCAATGTAAAGTAAATATATGAATATAAAATGTATTTTTAATTTTAGCCTCACCAGCTCATAGTTAGATCTGTTCTGTTTCAGATAATTCACACAGGCCGCACGTACTTTAGTGTGTAAACCCTGGCAGTGCAACACCTGTCAATCAAACACACACACACCTGTCAGTCCGTATATCTATATTGAAAAATATATGTTGGACGGAGTCATAAACATTCTGTTTATTACACTTTATCATTCAGTTGTCAACCTGGGATAACAGGTTTATCGAAACTCAAAGCACTGAATTCACTCAGAATGCAAACTTCATAAGTGATGATTCAGCAATACCTGATCTCAACCGTATCATTGAGTCCATTATATCATTTTAATGTATTAAAACCATTAATAATTCAATATGAATAACATTAATATTACAGTCTCGAGACATATCCTTAAGTTCATCTAACAAATAATCAATATTTTGCAAGGTTAAATAAAACATCTGAAACTACATAACTTCGAATATGAATGATTATTTATGTTTACATTTAATAAGAATAAAGAAATGAGTAATTATAATAAGGCACCTGATCAGGTAATGATTATTTAATAAATTGTGTCCTGTAGGGATTTGCGAACCTGTACAATATCTTAATAAAATTATTATTTAATAAATCATTCATATCAAACTTCATGGGAATTTAAGCAAAATCAAGACAACCGATACTATGAAACTTTAATGATTAGAGTTTAGACACTCAAGTCTCAAATTATAACTTTTAGAGATCAAATAAGTAATCATTTATTTAAATATGAAGCACTTAATAGTATTTAAACAGAAATAAACCACACCCATGTTATTATTATTAGTAAGTTAGCATAAACTGCTAGTGTGCTAAAGCTAATTAGCTTCAGATAAACTAAAAGGTGATTTTGACGAACCGTAGAGACTACAAACCGTGTCATATAGTTCACAAGTGCTATGGAAACAGGGACCAGAGTTACTTCAGTGACTTTGAGTGACATTTTAAGCACTCGGTGACACATTTAAGGCGTATTAGGGACGTTTTAAGTGTTTTTGAATTTGTTGGCTGTCTTTATAAACATTAAAAGCGTAACACATTAAAAATTTGGGTTGTAAATATCAGTATCAGTCTTCTGACCTGTTCTGCCACGGCCCTGAACAGACATGACCCGTCCTTGGCGATCTTTTTGCGGTAAAAGCCCAGCGAGCGCAGGTACTCGTCCATGCGGGACTCGTGCGTCCTGTCACCGGCCAGCTGCTGCTGAGCGCCCGCTGATGCCGCCTGGAGCTCCATGATGATCCCACTCCAACACAATCCCAATATAAATCACGCTATATCTGCAGCTCGAGTTTCCTTACCATCCCTGCACTCCAGCTAAATGCTTCTGATGGACTGGATTTACTGGATTTGCTTTTGATTTCAATGCAAAGCAAAGTTGAAGCTGTTTCTGGTTCAGTTGCATAGCCTACACACACGAACACACGCGTCCAGGGCTGAATATACTGATAATCCCAGGTGATCACGAGCGCGTGAAGCAGGTAAATGTGCAGTTTCTTAAAGCATTACGACACATTTACGAAAATAAAAGGAACCGAGTGATTTTCGGGAGACGATGGGAGATGTAGGCGAAAAAGAAAGTGAAACTACAAAACCGTTCAGCCACAGCATCTGAACCATGATCGATCTGAACTGAAAGAGAAAGTAGCAAGTACATATTACATAAATAAATAGAATATACATTTAAAATGCAAATGCATATTTATTTATTCACAATGACGTATCACACTGACATGTGAGGACGGAACACGTAAAAAATGTCTTGAAAATAATAGAGGAAAATAATAATGTATTATAAATAAAGTAAATATCTGAACATCTTAATCAGATACCTTCCATTTTATAGTTATGTTAATTTTAATATATTGATATATTAACATAATGTATTGATTTATTAATTTATATTGATATATTAACATAATGTATTGATTTATTAATTTATATTATTATTATTGATATATTATAATAATTTAGGGCATTGTGTGAACATCTTGAATTATATCTCAACTACCCCAATTATATTTCTAATATTTCTTAATACATATATAATTGAATTTTATATCTTTTTCTTTTTTTCTCATGCATAAAAATAAAGGCTATATAAAATAGCAAAGAAACCCTCTATATGTCTGTTGATAAGGATCATGATAAAGTAAGTAAGTTTCTATTAAATATTTTAATATAGGCTAAATATAAAAAAATAATTGTTTATATATTATTAGAGAGAGAGTGTGTGTGTTTGTGTGAGAGAGAAAGAGTGTGTGAGACTGAGAGAGAGAGAGAGAGAGAGTATGTGTGTGTGTGAGAGAGAGAGAGAGAGTGAGTGAGTGTGTGTCTATGAGAGAGAGAGTGTATGTGTCTTTGAGTGTGTGAGAGAGACAGTGTGTGTGTGTGTGTGTGTGTGTGTGTGTGTGTGTGTGTGTGTGTGTGTGTGTGGAGGAGGATGTAGCAGTTCCTGGATCAGCAGCTGTTGCACATCCTGGACGAGAGAGAAAGAGAGAGAGAATGAAAGACATCAGGATGAAAGGAAGGCAGAATTAGGAAAGAAAGAAACTGTCCGGTGTGTGAGTTGGAGAGAGATGAAGCTCCAGCAGAGACACTGCAGTCGTGTGTGTTTGTCTGATCAGCAGGACAGAAGCTTCTTCAGTGTGAGTACGTGTTTCATTAATATCAGTAATTTGCCATGAACTAAATGCATTATTTCAATCTTTAATTAAACTTTGACCATCTATTTCTGAAAGTAACTTTGATTTTATAATATTTTGATGTATAAAAATAAATGTACTAAAATATATTTGAAATACATTTATTTTATGCTAAGTATACTAGTGTACATTTAAATGTTTATTAAATACAGTATAAATACCCTGTAATTGTGCTTTTAGTATACTAAATTGATCTACTCAAAGTCTGTTAAATTGGAACTAATGTATGCTTTATCTGGAAATAGTGCTTCAACTACAGATTCACTTCAGAGTATTTGATTATTAAAGTGGAACTATTGCAAGAATAATTAACGTACACTTAAAATATCTTGCATTTAAAGACAGATATATCATACTATCCTTCAGGAATATTAAAACACTTCTTAGGTTTAATATTAATAAATGTGCATCGTGCAATATAAAAAGTGCTCAAATAAAGTTTCATTATTTATATCTGTTAGTCTCATGTGATATGTCTGTAGATATGTTCATAAATTTGTAGTATTGTATGAAATAAATGGATTTTAATTACATTTTGGTATAGGTATTTTTCACTATAGGAAAATTATATAAAAAAGTTTAAAGATTAAAAACAAATTATTTAAAAGCTAAATAAAAATGCTGAGATGAATTTCCAGATAATGCATGAAATGATCAAATGCAAAAGACAATTGACAAAAAAAATGTGAAATTGCTTTTGAAATTGCTTATATATATATATATATATATATAAGATGCAAAAGCCTCTAAATGCCATTTGAAATTTTCTTCTAGAATGGTCATTTTTATCAAGCTTGTATATTTAAGTTCAGTAATTTCACTTAAATGACAATCCTCATTGCCATTTAAGTGAAATTACTGAACTTAAATATACAAGCTTGATAAAAATTATCATTCTAGAAGAAAATTTCAAATGGCATTTAGAGGCTTTTGCATCTGAACTCTTCATATATATATATATATATATATATAAATATATATGCATATAATGATGGACGTAATTACAGAAAGCACAAGATGAAGATGATGATGGAGATGATGAAGATGATGATGAAGGCAGTGTTGGCTGGGTGTGTGATTATCTGTGTGTTTTCCGGACGCGGTGTGTGTTTCTCTCGTGGAGCGAGTGTCTCGTCGTGTGTGAGCATGAAGCCCGGACACATCAGCTCCTTTCCACAACACACACGCACACACTCCTCCGTCACCATACACACCAGCCGATCAGTGTACCTGCCACAACACACACTCACAGGTACACGCATATATCTATCTATCTATCTATCTATCTATCTATCTATCTATCTATCTATCTATCTATCTATCTATCTATCTATCTATCTATCTATCTATCTATCTATCTATCCATCTATCCATCTATCCATCTATCCATCTATCTATCTATATATCTGTCTATCTGTCTATCTATCTATCCATCTATCCATCCATCTCTCTGTCTGTCTGTCTGTCTGTCTGTCTGTCTGTCTGTCTGTCTGTCTGTCTGTCTGTCTATCTATCTATCTATCTATATGTCAAAAAGTTGTCTAATGTGTGTGTGTGTGTTGTTCTGTCAGTTACGGTTCAGAGTTCGCGGGCGTTTATGGGGTTTCTGCTGCAGGCTCGCTCTGTTCTGGAGGACCGGGTCGTCGGCGAGTTCACACACCACCCGCCCAGCACACACACACTGTCCTGCCTCGACACGGACGACACCGTCACACACTCAGACAAAACGCTCAAGAGGAACCTGTCCTTCAGCTGGAGGGCCCCGACACACCCCAGCGGAGACCTGCGCTTTTAGTAAGAGAAACATCAGCATGCTGTCACAACTGTGTGTATCTCTGGATTAAAGTGTGTGTGTAAATGCACAAAATGCAAATGCATTCATTTAAATGTCTAAGCAGGAACACACGTCATGTCTTCATCTGCACAACACACAAACGTGCATTTAATTCCCTTTTCAATCTCTCTCGTAGCATCACGCTGGTCCAGTCCTATTTTGTGTCCTGGTCGCGAATCAGATCAGCCGTGGTGCATGATGGGACACGGACAAGACAAACAACGGGTGATTATGACCAACACACAATATATGCGCACACACACCGTTGTGTATAACTAGTGGACTTTAGGGTGGCTTGTAAGAAATGTTTATTTTTTTGTGCAGGCTCAATACGGGAACAAACAGGCAAACACACATCCCTGTCCAAATACACAACCACATCTACCAACACAACCCCTTCTGTTAACACACACACAAACACACAATTAGTAAACGTCACTCAAACACCCCTGTCCTCGTATAGACACACACCTACACACACTAACACATATGCACCATATAACACAAACACCAACACAGTTTCAACATATAGCACACACACAACCCCTTCTGTTAACACACACACAAACACACAATCACTAAACAACACTCAAACATCTCTGTCCTCGTATAAACACACATCTACACACACTTTCCCAAGAATATCTACATCTCACAGCTCTACAATCGCTAAAATAGACACAAACATACACAAAACTACACAAACACACACTGTCTCAGATCTATTATCACACACCCACAGCGCAGATACACAGGCAACCATACAACAAACACACACTCTCCCGAAACTACAGTCACACACCCACACTGCAGATACACACACATCCACGCAACAAACACACACTGTCGCGAATCTACTGTCACAAACCCACAACGCAGATACACACACAACTATGCAACAAACACACACTCTACCAAATCTATTATCACAAACCCACAGTGCAGATACACACACATCCATGCAACAAACAAACACTGTCCCGAATCTACTGTCACAGACCCAGAGCACAGATACACAGGCATCTATACAACAAACACACACATATACGCCTTCAGTACACACTCACAACACACAGATCTTCACAGCATCCCTGCATCCCGAAGCTCTCCGTCGATCCCTCTCCAATTTTTTCCCATCCTGGGAGCCAACAGAGGGCGCCGTCTCTCTGACCCCTCGCAAGAAAGACACTTCAAATCAGTTTAGAGATGTTCCCAAACACGCTAAAAACACGCCTGGAGTCCCGGAGAGAGGGAACGAGACACCGGAGCACACTCCCGGGAAGAGCACATCCGAACTGGGCCTGTTACTGGGCCTGTCGGGCGCGCTGGGAATGGCCGTGGCCGTGGGTCTCCGCTACCTTCAGAGAAAACACTGCCGCAAGCGAACCGCCGTGTCGCTCAACGACTGTAACCACGAAGACCGAGGCATCATCCACGTTCAGGAGTGTGGAGACCTGGTGCAGGTGCGCAAAATACGCCAAAACAGCTTCCTCGTGCTTCAGGCCGAGTACAACCTCATAACACCGCCCGCAAACTGAACAGGCAGAGGCTCAATTCCCAACAAGGCTGCCCTTCTTTGATCAAAAAAAACTAAAAGTTAGGGTTATATATATAAATAATATAGCATATAAATAAATATATAAATAAAATAGCGTGTTAAAGTTGTCACTTTTGGGGGGATTTGCAAAAACGCACCGTTTGTGCCTGGCCCTTTAAATGCAAATGAGCTGCTGCAGAGGGCGGGGTTTCAAGAGCTCGCGTGTGTTAGCAGCTGCGATAGAGTGCCGAAGTGATGACGTCACGTTGTAGGACGACTCGGAAGCTAGCGGCGCATGGGTTTCCTAGGTCGAAAAGCATGGGTTTCCTAGGTCGAAAAGCAATGCATTTTCCCCCATAGACTTTTGGAAAATCACAAAAAATAAGATCTGTGTTTAACAAAGAGTTGTGACCCGTACACGTTTTGTCTATCAAGATAATCTTTACAAGTTAATCCAAAATGTATACATTTTGAAGCCTATATAAGGTTTTAAAAAACACAATCAGACACAATAAATTAAAAAAAAACTAAAAGCAGGTTATAACTGTGTGTTTTATGTCATAGATCAAAACGTGAAAATATTTAGAGGCTTTGTTCACCACAGACCTTATTTCAGGCGATTTAGCAAAGACCCATTCAAAAACCCCAGACTTTAGAGCGAGGGAACCGTAATGCTAAAATGCTAACTCACTTCCGCGTTTTGGCCTACAGAGTGACGTCGTAACCTCACACAGACACACTGAAATGACAGAAACAGTTCTCCCTTTAATGTTAAAACGGAGTCAGTCAATGATGGAGAGACTCAAGAAGAAGTGACAACATTGGTGCTTGGCCCCTAATAACTGTTTTCTATTGTAATACATTTAAAACTAAATTCATTCATGTGATCAAAATTTTCAGCATCATTACTCCAGTCTTCTGTGTCACATGATCCTTTAGAAATCATTCAGATATGCTGATTTGCTGCTTTTACTGTCTTTCCTGTCACTTTTGATCAATTTAACGCAGCCTTGCTGAATAAAAGTTTCAGTTTCTTAAAAACTACTAAAAAACAAAACTATCCAAGTAATCCTTTCCAAACACAGATACTGTATTAATGACTGCAAGACAAAAAAGCACAAAGTGCTTTTGCCTTTAGTTTGTGTTTAATAACCATAAATGATGCATTTAAGATTGAACTCTAGTTTAAAAGCATAAGTTAAGCATAATAAACTAAGATAGTAGATAGTAAGATAATAAACACAATAGCGCCTTTTTGAAAGGGTAAATCACTGTTGAATTATTTAGTTTTAATGTTCTCACCCATTAGACTAAAAAAATGTTAGATAACTATAACCTGTATTTGATTTGAATAAAGATATGTTTTAATAAGTTGAATAAATACATTTATTTTGAAGAGCGTATGGTGTGTTTGGTATCAAAGTTTGTTTCGTTGTAATTTTTTGTGTGATATACTACAAAACACGTTTACAAACCTCATTTAGACAAAGTTAATGACTGTTTATTGTCTTCAGTAACATAACACAGCACAGTTGAACAGCTGCTCTTAGCGTTTACTGCACCAGAACAAACGACCAACGGTTCAGTAACACTCCCGTCATCAAGGACGTGTAAGAGAGTTAGCAGGGCATTGAACAGTTTTACTGCTGCAAATCTAAGCCCAATGAAGCCACACTAATGTACCCTGGAAGTCGACATAACACAGACAAACCCATCTGACAACGTCTGAGTGCTGTTGGAGTAAGAAAAGATTTCACTTCATATAAAAATAAAAATATACATTCAGGTATCTGTTTATAAAAGCTCATGGAATGGTTCGGTCCCGAGGGTCGAGTTAAGGCACTTGATCTCACGTATACTGTAAAACCCTGTTCTCGGCGTCTCGGCCTGGTTTGGTCTCGTTGTTTCTGGTCTGGTTTGGTTTGGTTTGGTTTGGCTCAGCCAAGTGTTTCACAGCTTCCAGTCGACAGTGTAGTTCATATGGGCGAGAGAGTCTGTGAAGGAAGCAAATCAAGAGGTTAAAACACACCCAAACGAAGTGTAATAATATGTGTAATTTCAACATCTTATTGAATAGAGAAGCACACCAGAACTGGAAGCATAAATTAAATTACTATAAAATAAATAAAAAGAAAACAAAAAAAATGTCTCTTAAAAAGATAAAAATAAAAAATAAAACCCAAGGCTATTCATTAAACATTAAATCCGAACCCGACCCGAAACCCTTGAATTTTAGCAGACCTCTAGCGTGTGTGTGTGTGTGTGTGTTACCTTCTGTCTCCCGCTCATCCATGTTTTAATGGAGGGAAGAAGGATGCTGCCCAGCAGGATCTGAGCCGGATGATAGATCAACAGAGGCACTGATATCAGAGACAGATGCTCATAACCCTCAAACACGATCTTCAGCATGGGGATACCTACACACACACACACACACATTAAACCAGGGTTTTCAATTACAGAAGGTAAGTAATGATGATTCATATTTGTCTTATCCAGACAGAAGCCTGCGTTTTACCTAAAGTGAGGGATTTATGACATGATGAAATTAAAAAAAACTCACAGACAGCATAAAAACATTTATTAAATAATAATAGTGCAATGTGCAGTAACCCTAACCTAACACTAACCCTAAATACTGCAATTTGGAATTGCTCTACATACATATTTTATAACTAATATTGACATTAATTTAGAGTTTTCACTAAACATTAAAAGAAAAACTATGGCAATAAAATGTTATGTTTTTAGCTAAGTAAAAAAAAAAAAAAACATTTATTATACATACATATACATACATTACATGTATATATATATATATATATGTGTGTGTGTGTGTGTGTGTGTGTGTGTGTGTTTGTTCCAGAACATCATTTTAATTACATATCATCTTATAATAATATGTAATATTCAACTAATATTGACATTATTTTGTAGTTTTCACTTTAAAAATCAAATACAATGTTTTTTTTAAGATAATTTGTAAAAAAATAAATATATATATATATATATATATATATATGAAGCTTGCATTATTTTACCTAAAGTGAGGGATTTATGAGTCGCACAAAACATGATGGCGACTGAATCCGCTGCGGTGAATCCTGAGGATTTCCTACAAACGTCACAAAATAAGATGCATATAAACACACAGTGATATCCGTCACAGATCCAATAGTAAGTGGATCAGGATTATGTCTTAATCTACAAATGCAGAATTGTTTGGCTCGATATTAAACCAATAGCACCTGTGTGTCTTACCTTGTAGACAGGAAAAATATCAGGGCCATGAAGCTCAACTGAATGGAAAATACTGAAAAACAGGGAAAAAAATAAGAAGAACAATGATGATTTTGTTCTCTTGAACACATGGGATGGAAAAACAAGATTTGTGCAATATTCACAATTTTGCCCATAAGTTAAATACGCAGCTCTGAATGTAAAGCTCACAGGGTAAACACACACTCACTCATGGGTAATATGATGTGGAGTTAGCTATCTTCAATTAGCATATTCTGTCAGGATAATCTATAAATCATCATATTAACTGTTGTGAGATGCACACAGAGTGACTACAACAGCTCTTCCTCTTCTCAACATGGACTGTGTTCAGGCTCGTGTAGTTCTTCCAGCCGTTTCTTTAAAAGCAAATATCTCAATATGCTTTGAACTTTGAGAGTTGTAACTTTGCAGATGTTGTTTATGCTCAACTAAAGTCACTAAAGTTAGAAAAGTGAAATCCTAATCAACCGCCGTTTTAATCAGTACACAAGGGTTGCGACGGTCGTGCACTCACTGATGAAGACGACGAGCAGCAGGCTCAGGTGGTCCAGCTCGATGTTGGGGTTGGAGAAGGTGTCGCAGAAGGTGGTGTAGATGATCATGAGGAGGACGACACTGCTCACCGTCCCGAACGGAGGCTTCCGGCGGTCCAGACACTCTCTCAGGAACCTCCTGCACACCTACACACACCACATATTACGCCTGGGCACGTTTTATTCTCCATTAATCGTTTTTTAAATGTGGTCGATTCGCAAAGGCGATTTTGGATCGATTTTTTTTTTCACACACACACACTCACCTGTCCAACTATGAGCGGGACAACCACCGTCATGAAGAGCTGCGAGAAGATGGAGGTGAACGGGACAGAAGACGAGGAGCCCAGCTACACACACACACACACACAGAAACACATTATACACACAAAATATCAGAAACAACTTCTGTAAACACTGGACAATCAATAGAGTATACAGTATATATTACACCAGTACAATATGCTCATTGTTCAGCAGCACATCCACACTGAACACACACACACACACATTAAAGAGGAGATTTACTCACAAACACCAGCAGCAGAAGAGGAGTGACCACAATCCCCTGCAGACAAACACACACTTATTTCACATTGTGCTTTTATTCCTTTGTTCTTTTGTCTCTCTCTCTCACACACACACACACACACACACACACACTTACCAAAAAGCTCCCAAATGCAGAATTAAAAATGGCTGCAGCCTGTAAAAAATAAATAAAATAAATGCACTTTCACATTATCACACTTACCAGTATTAATTATTAGACATGAATGAATGTTCATTTTGATGTTTAACTTCGATGTACACCAAATGTTGTGATTATTCAGTTGTAAAAAGTTATGATTTGTATAACATAAATGTGATTGCAGTCATCATGATTAAAATGTAAAGTTTGAATGAAGTACATTTGTAAAGTTGCGATCGAGTGTGTTTGTAATATAGTTGTCGTTATGGTGAAATGCATTTATTGTTGTGATGGAAAGTGTTTTTAAAGTTGTGATGGGAATTTGGGATTTTAAAATTAAGTATTTGAGAAGTTTATTTATTTATTTATTACACTTTTTACCTCATTTCCTCCTACAGTTTTAGTGAGGATGACAGCAGAGGAAACAGGAGGAGGCATACATGCAACCGTCTGCAACCTGAGAGAGAGAGAGAGAGAGAGAGAGAGAGAGAGAGAGAGAGAGAGTTTAACTGTTTTTTTTAAATAATAAACATACACTTTACTCAAGATATTTAGAAACAATTAATTCACCATCCTTAAGGCAAAACATTTCTTTATA